AATTAAGACTCCATTGCCTTCATTTATGTAGCATAATTTGGCAATCAAAATCGAGCATACAGCTGAATTATAATGATAAGGAGAGCTTATTATATTGGACGACTTGTCGCAAGAATATTGAACACTACACTTAAGATATCTAGGCAAAACAACATTTCAATTAATTTGACGTTATTTTAATTAGCCAATAGACATGGCACAAATACCTGCTTACTGATTAATGGTTCATGTATTATCTCACCTTGTTTTAGTCTCTGTAGCAAAAAACAAGTTTATTTTTTTTAATGAGCTCTCATAAATCAGTTTGGAACGAACCTTAACCTGTTCGGGCAGCTGTTGCTTGTTTCACTGCAACACAGCCAACATATGCATAAACATAGATTCTCTGGTAGCAACAGAGATGCCTCGACAATTACCTCAGATATTCGTAAGTGTGTGTGTTTGTGTATGCGTGTGTGTAGCATCTGTGGCTGGGTATCGTCGGGGCAGTGAAACAGTAGCAGAAACTTGAGGCATGGCACGAACAAAATACCGTTGGCTTTATTCAAGCAAACGACAAGAATTATTTTGTACGAAAAGTATCGTATATCAAGGAAGCAACTGAGACAAGAAGCCACCGACAAGGACATGGACAAGGATAGGGATCTGAACAGTTTTGCTATTTCGCGATGCAGACGTTTTGCTACACAGTAACTCAGTGGTGCAGCTGCAGTCGCAATGCTTTCTTATACATATAAACTCCTTATTGTTGTTGCATATCGCATGTCCTTGACATACGCAAATGCATTTATTAAAGTCACACAGCGCCAGCTTGCCAGCAAAATAGCAACAGCTTACAAATACTGCAAGACTGAATCAAGTGTCCTTGCTGTATGAGTTGTACGTGGAAGTTCACTTTCATATCCAAGCCTGGAGTTACACATCAGACTATAACGAGAAAGTTTTCGCAGTCATATTCGTAACATTGACAGTGACTAGAACAAAGCATCTGAGCATATCTGAATGCTTGCCATCTGATTTGCTAACTTTTTCTTTTTTTTTTTTTGATTCTTTTCGTCTGAGTTGTGCTGCGAAAGGTGGAGTGGAGGGGATGAATAGGATGTGATCGTAGCAGACGACACGGAAGAAGTTTAAAAGTTTGCCTACAGTGTTTGCATTTCGAGTACATTTTGCACGCAGACGTCCTTCACAGGATGCCGTTTGGCTGGCAAATGCACACGCAGCTGGGGCAGCAGTTGATTTAAATAGATGCAGACACAGACACATACAGGTAAGAGTGTGTGTGCTGATATAAGTATGCCACTTTTTAGTGTGAGCTAATGAAAATCCTGAGCAGCTGAAGTTTAAACTCACTAAGCAGTCGCCTACTTAAACAAAGTTGTGCTTCACTGACTCAAAACTTTGGCCATAAGTCAAAGATCAGCGTTATTTACGCACATGCAAGCAGAAACACCCACACACACCATCAAATACACACACACGCATACACACACATCCTCACACACAAATACACACTCATTGAATTACAGCAATCAAGCTGGCAGCTTACAAATAACATGGCTGCCAATTTGGGAATGCCAACCGATACCCAGCCAAAAAAGACAATACTCAACTCAACTCGCTGTCTGCCATTTGACGCACGACCGAAATTGAATTGATAAAAAGCACATGCGACTACATAAATCTTCATTTATATAATTCCATAGTATATTCAAAGGTAGGCGAAGCATCTCTACAATGCTGGGCTATTTTGAAATCACAAGTACTTAATAAACCAAAACTTTCATATGGTACGTATATTGCTTGGAAGAGTCTCTGTTGGCTTCTAGTCAGACGAAATATTTTGAGCAAGTTTTCCAATTACCCAAGTCTCCATAGAGATTCCGTCGTATCCCAAATGTGGCGGCAAAGTTTGTTAATATTAGCAAGCACTCGGAAAATGTTCATTGCATTAGCTTTTCCTGTATGCACAGATCGGTGGGTAAGCAGCCACCTTAGTTACTCGATGGCTGCTCACAGCCTCGCCTCGTCGAGAGTCAATTGCCTCCACTCAACTCTCTGTCTGTCTGTCTATCTGTCTGTTTGTTGGCTTGTTTGGCGCTTGTTTGTTGTACGTGTCAATGTGGTGTTGTACGCACGTAAACGATTCCGAGTATTTATTACGCGCACAACTTGACATAATTCCTTTTTTCCGCTCCACCAGTTAAGCCATTGGTGAGACTCCCCAGCGAGAAGCAAGACTCATCCGCCAAGCAAAACGATAAGGATGAGGAACTGCTTCAGTTGAACTAATGTTGACACTGCGGCAGCAGCTAAGGCTTTGCAGTTAATGCCACTTTACTACACAACTAACAGGACGACATCTCGATATGGATTTATGGTCGTCGTGTGTGCGACTTGCATCACGCGCTCATTGAGAACGTTGAATTGCCATCATCGTTATCAGCATCAGCAGTGTTAGATCATTATCGAGTACGACAAAAAAAAAAAAAAAAAAACAAGTTTTGACTTAACAACTTTATCTGCAGAGCGCGCACTTATTTTTCCCATTCCACATCATCTCTCTCTCTCTGTCAATGGGATTTCTTAGCGCATTAGGCAGCGACAATAGCAACAAAAACAATAACAAAAACAAAATTCCATTAAGAGGCAACAAACTGTTAGCCAAAATGGCGGCAACCGTTGACGCCATCAACGAGAAAATAATCCGAGAAATGCGGCGTTAATGGCAACACAACTGGGGGGAAAAAAAGGAGCGAAACGCATGTGAAGGCAAACGATATTATGATTATGATTATTATTATGTTGTTATTAGATTAAGCGCAATTTTAACTTTTTTTTTCCGCCTCCATTTCTACTGCATCTGCTGCTTGTTCTTGTTCATTGTCCCATTTGCCTTTGTTCGGCTTGCTTCCGATGGCATTGTGTTAAGTCGACTCTTTTGGTGCTGTGGCACTTCCGTTTGGCTTTGGCTTACGACACTTGATGCCCCAGTTGGCCAAGTTAGCCAAGGAACGGCCCCCCAAGCGCTGCTTGGCTAAGCAACCAGGCAAACGCCGTCCATTGTTTCAAGCTGTGCCCGCGTCTTAGCCACGCTTAATTGGTTGGCTTTTATTACTTGCAAAGTGCTGTACAGTGAGCGCATAATTTTTACTTTGCTACCACACTGCACAGTGGTTCAGAAATGTATAAAATCTACTTTAAATTTTCAAAAATTATCAGAAAAATTTGAGTTCAAAACAATGACTAACTAATCACTTATTTAGGTATCATTTATCTAAGATCTTACAATATTCTTGCCCTTGTACACCATTGCTAACTGTCTCAAAGACTCACTTAAAACGAAAATCTGTTATCATTTTATCCTTAAATAACTTACTTATTAGCATATAATAATACAATTTGGATAAGTCAGATTCGAAACACTAAATATTTACAAAAATATTTCCAAGGGTCGGTATGCAATTGGATATGTTTGAAATTTTTCTAGCAGCTATTAGAAACTAAGTGCGAGGAAAAGATCACTCTGCACCTTTTTGATATTTTCTTGTAGCTAGAACTAAGAATTTTCGATCTTCGACTCGAAACTCCAATAATAAAGTTCGAAATTGCCTGATAATTTTTTGTTTTTGTTTGCTTGCTCTACTTTGAACCCAATGTGACGAGGCAAGGAAATCTTTTTTTAATTAAATGAGCTGCCTGCATTTGAGGGGCGTTGCTCCGCTGGAGTCATACTGGCTGGCTGACTGACTGGCTGCCTGGCTAGCTGGCTAGCTGGCTCATGTACGTTTGCTCACATCGCACCTATACACACACCCCCATAAGGCCGCCCACATTTAGAAAGAGACGCGTGCCGTGCTGGGCCGGGTCGGCCCTTTTTTCACTTTGGTAGTTTGTGGCGCCATTTTGGCGCGAAATGAATTTAAATTGTTTGCTGTCGTTTCCTGCATTAAAGGCAGCTTCCTCTGCCTTTGGTCTTTTCTTTGGATTCACTTGCACCTTTTTCGAGAGCCAAATACGGAATTACTTAATTACAACAATTATTAAACAGCAGCCGTAGGGTCTGCGTATTCTTCGGGAGTACAAAAAAAAAGAAAAAAAACACATAAAGGGAAAGGTAAAAACAGCGCGTGTTTCCTGTTGCTTTTGTTGTACTTTTTTTTGTCTTCTCATTTTGTTGATTTTGCTGTTGTTGTATTTTGTTATCATGTTTGTTGCTGGCTGTTATTTTAATTAAATATTTTCACACCTACTTCATTTGAGCTTGGGAGCCAAGAGCGCGGGCAGGCATTTATTTCCTTGCCATCGTCGTCGTGTTGGCCGTTATGTAGGTGTTAATTTCCTGTCTCCAGGCAACAACAAAGGCCAGTCATTTGCAATAGCAACAACATCAACTAGTATTGTAAGCGTCGGCTATAATAAGAATAATTGCCAGGACTAGCTATAAGGCACGTTGTCTGAAATTTTATGCGCCGTAAAATTGCATACGAAATAATTGAATAGCATCGAGTCGCGTCTTTTTGTCCCGTTTGTGTTTTCTGCTGTCTGCTGCCCTTACTGGTTGCTGCATCTTCTAACTGGCAGCAGATAAAGTTTTCCACAGCGCTAAAATAATAGCAGCCAAAGTGGTTATAAATATTTTGTGCACAGTTTCCGTTGCCCTCTGGCCCCTTTTGTCCTTTTCTTCGTGCTGCAGCGAAAGTCATTTTTCAGCTAAATGAATTTGCACAAGTTGCGGGAAAAATGCGCAAAAATCGCCCAAAAAAGCGAACTTGGAAAGTGTTGCTACTTGATAGGGGGAAGAAAGGAGTGGCCATCTTCAAATTTGCTGCGTCACTTGACACAAACTGCGGTCAGTAGCAAAGTTCAACGCGCACATCTAATGAGCCGGAATCAGTTGTCCTTAAGACCCAAGTCTGACTTTTTGCTCTGCTATTTACTTAGTAAACAACTTTACCAATTCTGCGTAAAAAAATTTAAAAATTTCATTTCATTTGCAGGTCCACCAGGTCCACCCGGTCCGCCCGGCAAGCGAGGGAAGCGCGGCAAGAAGGGCGATGCAGGAGACAAGGGCGAAGCGGTATGTATCTCAGTGAACAGAACTAGTAGAAATCCTTATATGACACTTTAATTTACTGTAACCAGGGCCTTAATGGCATCAGTGGCGAGAAGGGCTCGGCTGGTAAGCCCGGTGATAAGGGCCAAAAGGGCGACACCGGCCATCCGGGCGTGGATGTCTTCCAAACCGTCAAGGTAAGTCGCAAGGCGTTCCTCAATGCTGCTGCTACTGCAAGACTGCATTCGAAATTGGAAAATCGAAATTGAATACGTCTAATCGACATTTTTTAAAAATCTCTAACGCAATGCTGCTCTGCTTTCTGCATTCTCTTAGGGCCTCAAGAGATCGGTGACTACGCTGCATGGCGGCACACTTGGTTATGCGGAAATAGTTGCTGTTAAGGTATTTCATCCATAAATCTGTTTCAACTGCCGTAGACACTAGACATGACAGCCTGTAGCCCATATCCCAGCATCCAACACAATTCAACCCTGGATTCTGTGGAGCATGGTCATTGTCATTTTTCAAGGCAAAATACAGTTGGACAGAAAACTGCAAATATTTGCAACTTGTTGTCCTCTGGACTTGTCCTTCGTTCTATTTGCACATGTAGTTTTTGTTGGTGTTGTTGTTGTATTTGTACTCGGTATTTGTACTTGTTTATTATCCTGCACATTGTTGTTCGTAGTGCTTTTAACTTGAATCAGCTCTTTGGTTTAAGCTGTACCATAAATTTTTGCTACTTTTGCATAGTTTCTGCTTAGTCATTTTGTTTCTTTGGGGACCAACCGATTCATAGTAGCTGCTCATCCTATTGTCATTTGAATATTTGCTATGGTCATTTTATCATTGCCTTAATGGTATCTGATGTAGCTTATGGTAGCTTACACATATACATACATGTATATAAGCTAATATTTTACTTGTTTCAACGACAAGTGATTTGCGTAAGCGTTTTGCACACTATTGTAACCCAAGGTATTTGATTATATAAATAATTTGTCTAAGCAAATCAAATTATCAAAGTAAATATTTTAAATTATTTTAAAGTAAAGTTTACCAAACTGATAAAAGTATTAGTTTAATACCAACCTTACAACTAAAAAGATTAAGTTTAAGAACAATATGCCAAAACTGGCACGGCGGATATATTACATTTTTGTAGTTTAATTTCTTACCAATTTGTTTTTAATATTTCCTGCTATCATGGTTAAGTCATAATTTCTTAAGTAATTTCTATACTTCGTATTAGTGTCGATTATCTTCTTCAAATAAGCTATGTTAATCCCTAATTTGGTACTTTTCCGTTTTGATAATTTTATTCTTTTCTCTTCTTTATTAATTTGAAACTAAAATTTGCTTTGCAGCAGCTACTTTTTTTATATTCTAATACACTTTTTATTATATTTTCATTAACCAATTTAATTTTTTATGCAATGTTTTTTTTTATCAATTTCTATTTGTGTTGGTTGTAAGGACTTGCAAGAAGCGGGCGTTAACGTATCCGCTTCAACTGTCATACAGCTAAAGGTAAGTTCTCGGGTTTTGGTATTCTCCACTTTGTGTACATTGTATTCGATTGCATGCCTCCTGTGTAGCTTAATCTTTGTTTGGTGCACGTGCCTCTCCATTTAAGCAGAAATCGTGTGGGTTCTTAATGCTAATAGACATATTTTTCAATAATCTAGGGTGAGCCAGGTGAACCTGGACCGCCGGGACCCCCAGGCGAACCTGGCAATCCGGGCGTGCCAGGCGAACGTGGACCACCCGGCGAAACTGGACAGCAGGGAGTGCAGGGCGAGGCCGGTCTGGCAGGACCGATTGGACCTCCTGGCGTTGCGGGCGCACCTGGCACAAAGGTGAGTGATTCACAGACAATGAAGCAGTAAAACAAAAACCAAAGAAAAACCCGAAATACAAATAGCGACACACAGACAGAGAGTGAGAAGGGGCGATGGATAAAGAAGAGCCCGATAAGGATTGAAACCGATTCATAAGTAAAACAAAGATGTCACAAGGATTAATGCACTATTTGTATCTGTTGGATAAACATTGTGACATTTTAAGTGACTACGAATACGTCGTCGTACCAAAATTGTGTGTATGTGTGATTGGGTGTGTGTGTTACTGTGTGTGCGCGTGTGTGTGTGTGTGTGTGTGTTACTGTGTGTCCGTGTGTATTATGTGTTTGTGTGCTGTCTGCTATTGTTTTTCCGATGTTTCCTTTGTCTTTTTTCTTGGTTTTTCACATTATTTATCGTTTATTTATGTATTAAGCGCCCCTCTCTCTCTCTCTCACCCTGTCTCGTGTGTATGTGTCACCTTTATGCCTCTGTCCTTGGCATTTCCACTTAATTTTCCAACAGACAGATATCAATACAGATTCAGACCTGTGACTCATTTCCATCTGCTTCTCTGCTTTACAGGGTGACAAGGGGGATCGAGGTGATCGCGGACTAACCACAACCATCAAGGGTGACGAGTTCCCAACGGGCATCATCGAGGGTCCGCCGGGACCGGCTGGACCACCTGGTAAGTGTCTCTTAGAGTTGGCAGCTGCCTCTCAGTTTGCTTTCATTCAACAGCCACTTAACTCTCAGCACAAATGCAGATACAGATACATTGAAACTAGTCGTAAACTATAAAAACCGCAGCTTATTGATGTTTGGAAATCGTTCGTTCGATGTGTATATTTTTCAAGTGGTGCCACGCGGCTGGATTTGGTTGCTCATCTGCGGGTTGTTTAATTTATTGCCAGCGGACTCTGGGAATAGTATTCAACCGCCCCTGGCCCCGGCCCTGACTCTGGCCCGCGGCCCTAATTGAGTCATTGACTAACGCTGTCCCATTAGAGCACATTTTTGAATTTGATGTGGCCTTTTGGTGTGAAAAGCAGCTCGTTAAAATGTAAATCAAATACCAAATGCATAGCAGCAAAATGCATTTCCGTTGCTGTTTTTATTGCAGCGCATATTTTTGAAATATTCTCGAATATATTTAGGTTTGTGTTTTTTTTTTGTATTTTTAGGAACGTTTTTTTTTTTCATCCACATTTGGAAATTTGTTTGCCTGCCGCATTTTGCGATAACATTTACGACCTTTGTGTTTTGTGGGCTGCCGCATGCCACAATGTTTGCCACAATGTTTGACGTCGTCGTCAATTAAATGCCCCACAATTCGTTGGCAGCAGCCGCCCACTCGCCCGCACGGACCACTGCCCGGTCCACGCCCACAATATCTAGAGCAATTTCCACTTTCCAGCTAGTTTTATGATCTGGCCGAACATATTTCTGCACTTTATGCGATTTTAATAAACGAAAATAACCCAAGCGCACGGCTGAAATAGCTGAAACGCACCGGAATCCAAATACAAATTCGAATCCGAATCCGGCGCTTGTCATAAAAATTTGTAGACCCGGGCAGCTTGAAACACTTACCGCAGTCATAAAAACGCAACTTTATGTCATTTATGTTGCTTTTAGCGGCTCATTAGCATCGCTACTCGTTCCACGATCCACTCGCAGCACAGCCAGTGCAACATGCCTTATGCGGTAAATGTGTATATGTAAGACTATGTTATTACCTATGACTCTAGTCGGATGCACTCTGACCAATTGTTTTATTAGGGGTCTTCAGGGTGCGTAGTAAATAAACAATTCTTAAGACAGCATAAAAATGGACAGACACAAGTCATAAATGTCAGTGGAATGGGATTTTGAAATCGGAGGCAATATAATCTTCTTCTTATTTCGGGAAATAAAATACTTTGGAATAAAACCTTTGTCAGCTAATTCTCTTAAGTCCTGAGTTTGTATAAATATTTTATTTTTATTACTGTAAGCTGATTCTTCTAATTCACTGGATTGAATAGATATAATTATTTTTATTATATTTTATTTTGACAAGTTTATAATTCCTAAAACTGAATAGAAAATATATCGATACTTTTTTCATGGAACAGACGTCTAAACTACAAACAAAGAAAGTTTTTTATTTATTCATTATAGGTAAGAATTGGGCATCAAAACCGGAACCCCTGTTTATAGTTGCCTTAAGCTAAGTGAATGCCCCTAATGCATATAATCAATGCACACCGCTATCAATTAAGCGCATGCTACAAGCCCGCATCGCGTAACCTCCCACTTGTCTTATCAGAGCATCAGAGCCCTGCAGTTGTTGTCGATGTTGTTAAATTTGTTGATGTTGTCAATGTTGTCGTTCTTGTGGGAAATTGCAGTTGCGTTAATGTTGTGCGCATTGTTTTTAAATTTGTTGTTTGTTTCAAACAAGATCTACTGTTTCGATAGACACAGTTGTCGACAGTTGCCAAGCGTCCGACGCAATAGCAAAGGCATTCCCTTGTCCAGGGCCCCTACCACGTCTCCTAGGGAGACTCTCCTTTGACTGTGCTGGACAATGCTATGCGTTGATGGACATGAAATTGCAATTTATTTTCCGAAATCAGCGTCGGGTTTGAGTCGCCAGCTCATGGGAAATGCGTCTGCGTCTGCGTTTGCGTCTGGTTCCAGATCTGAGCTTCGACTTGAGTCATTTAGGCTTGATTTGAATAAATTGAATGTCATTTGTATTTGGAATTCTTTCATCTGGTGGCCACGTCTCTGTTCCTCAGTTTCTCTCACTCTGTCGACTGCTTATCTTATCGTTGTCGTAATTAGTTAAGCTGACTTGTGCTTTATGTGTGGGTAGTCACTGAGCTGGACCTGGGAGATGTCTCGGCAATTTAATGTGTCATTTGTATTTTGCGTCTCAAGAATAGAGCAGAGCAGAACAGCCCTGAGGAAATTTGTGTACTATGGCAGTTGCTTCAGTCCCAGTTGTAATGTCGAAAATTTCAATTTATTTTCTGATTTATTTGAATTTCATTTCAGTTATATTGTGATTGCATTTCATCCGGGTAGATTTTGTCTGTTTTCCTCTGGTTCGCTCTACTCCCTGGCATTTGTCCATTGCTTTGTGTACGAAATTAAAACTTATCATTTGCACTTCATCTGCATTGCCTTTTTTGCTAAACACAAACAGAATGCGAAGTGAAAAGCATGATGAAGAGGGAAATGCCCAAGTGGACCAACAATATCCAATATCCTGACTATATAAATCCACATCAGGCCCCGCGGTCCCAGTGGTCAAGTTGTTGTCCGCTGCTGGCAATAGTTTTGATTGTGGCTGAAATTGTCGCCTAAAATGCTTAACGGTAAATTATGCCACCATAAATACTTACCGAGCCCGAGTGCGAGTCCAAAACAAAGAGCGGACAACAAAATACTTTATAAATAAACGGCAGACGACAGAGACAGAGGCACAGGACCCATAAACCAAATGCCAGCCAAGGCACGCAAATTTATGCGCACTGGCCAAGAGAAGCAGAAGAGGAGTCCTGGCAACTCAACGACCCATATCCCGCCCTAAACTCAATTTTACGAACTTAATAAATTTTCTATATCTTTTCACACACACACGCACACACACACACACACCGAACTGCTCCAGCTCATGCACAGGCACACATTTTGACAAGTCGCACAATTGGATTTATCTATGACATGAATTCTGTGTACTCTTGTGCCTTTGTGTGTTCTGCCTCCTCATCCGCATGTCTGTGTATGTGTGTGTGTGTGTGTGTGTGTGGGTTATTTAAATGGTCGTATTTAATGGTCCAGCCAACAGCAAGCCCAAAAAACAGTTTCTCATTATTTTAACTAAACAGGTCGTCACATCGTTGTTGTTGCCATTGCTGGTTTTAGGCGTTGTTGTTGTTTTTGTCTCGTTGTCGATGCTTTTTAGTAGCGCCACAGTGGGGCAAAATCTAGCTTTATGCTGACAGATTTTCGAAAAGTCCAACGTCCACAGACCAATGCATGTCTAAATTAAATTTTGTAATGAAAAAGATTTATTTAGTTAATGAAATAATTCAACCTAAAAATTAGTTGCATTTTGTTTAACCTGAATTGTTGCATAACTGCTGCTTAAAGAAACAGTTGCCTGGAATCACTTTCGGTAAATAGGACAAGTCTTTCGAAAGAGGCACTCTTCATTAGACCACAACGAGCTAGCTGTGAGCTACTGTTTGCATTGGGCATTTTGTTTTTGGCCAAATAAACAATTTGCATTTTAAACTAAAACCCCAAAACCCTATAAAAGGCAACAGCGACAGCAACAGTCGCTTATCGTTGCCAGCATCATCAGCAGTTGAACAAATTGCTGACCGAAAACCAGACAAACGCTTGTTGACTGACAGATGGTTGGTGACAGTCCATTCAGCTGCGATAATAATGTGTATAATTACAAAGCAGCGTCAATGCCACGCCTCTTGTTTGCACCACACTTGTCGCACCGCGTAGCTGTGACGATGTTTATATACTCAAAAAAGAATTAAATAAAAATAAATATATATTTATATATATATATATGTCCAAATCCAGCAGCTATGTGAAAACCTTTCAAATTAAATTCCCCAAAAAATTGACTATATTGAAATTAAATATAATTAAATATTTAAGTATATTTTGATGACAAAATAAAAAAAATTTAAAACTCAGTATTCAAATACATGGATTTTTCTGCAAGTGTATCTGTATCTATGTCATAGACTGACTGTGTGTGAGTGTGATTTTGCATATTGCTATTCGTATATTAAAATGATTCGCCATAAATGTCAAATATGAACATTCACAGGTCCGCCCGGGGAGCGCGGTGAACCCGGCGAATTGGGACCCATTGGACCGGCTGGACCGCCTGGCGAGAAAGGACCACGCGGCAAGCGGGGCAAACGGGTGAGTGTGAAAACCAACTGAATAACCAATGCGAAAACTCGCTTTGCAGTCAATTTTAATTAGAAAACAGTGACGAAAAAAAATAAAATAAAAAGTACTCAACAACCAAAAAATAATAATGAAGAAAATTTATGAATATGTAAATTGGTTTGTAAATCTTTGTAAAAATGCGTAGAAGCGTAACATTCATTTACATACTCGTTAAATGAATCTGTAAATATTTGTGTAGTAGCAGAGCTACTACATAAGCTGTACATAATTAGTGCGCATCCGCATCCTTTCGCATGGTCCGACCAAGCAGGTGTTTAATACCTTGCATGTTAAATATATATAATATACATATATATATATATATGTATATGTATATGTTCATCTATACATTTATGAGTGATATGTGAATGTCCTTGACTACGTAATGAGCATGTTCAACTGTCATCCCCAAAGAACCAAAGCTCACCGCTCACCTAAACTCATTACAGGCACTGTCAGAGCGACGAGAGAGAAACCTTGATGTAATGCCTTTGATTAAGCTTTAAAGTATCTGGCAGATATGCACACTAGATGAGGGTGTTCGCGCTTAATATAAATTCCCCAATCTGCTGGCATACGTCTCACTTTTGTTCTTTTTTTTTTTGGGTGTGGGCCCCGTGGCACAAAACTATGTCGACGCACTTGGCGCCTCATCGAAATTGTCAAAAATGTTTTGGAGCTTAAATCTTGGTCTTAATTTATGTGCCCCCTGTACGGCCATAGAGTATATCTGCAGCATTTATCTAGGCATTTGCTGTGCGTTATGTGCTCTTCTCTGGAATGTCAACAGTGCAAAGATACTTAACATTTTTATTGGCACTTGGTGAGTCGGCAGCTGTTGCCACCCCGTGACGTGCTGATGGATGCAAGGGAACCTCGACGGATTCTCATATTTTGCGAAACACTTTTGATATACGCAAAAGTGAACTGGCGGGGAATATGAATATGTATCTAGCACGTGTTTGTTTACGTTATGAAACATGCATAAGCGCCGCTGGCAAACGGGGATGGGTGCGCTTGGTGCTCGATAGGAGTTTTCTGTTTCTACTTTCGCCAATCCACAAATATTTGCGCGTTTTGCCAATTTTCGTAAAACAGTCTGATTATTGTACATTAGACACACACACACACACACATATATATATATATATATATATGTATATATAAACACATGCGGCTGAGAGCGTCAAATTCATGAAACACGCCTTTAGCCAACTGCTGTTGTCCCAGTCATTGGCATGGTCATTGCTTTTGCGTTTACTGTTGTTTTTTGCATTTGTTTTTGTTGTTGTTGCTGCTGAAATAACGCGTTATAGCACAATAGCGGCAACTCCAACAGAGTTCCAATACAGCCAGAATCAAGCACAAAAATAACAACACCAAACGGCAACTGGCAACGTGCAGCTTCACATTTATGATTTTTGCTTTGATATACTTTGGGTTAGCCGAGAGTTGTCCAAAGAAAATTGTAATTCTGAAATAATTGAGAATACCATTTAAAGATGTTGTACAAACAAACTAAAATTAAAAATTATAAATCAATAAAATAAAATGAAAATAAAAAGCATTATCATAAAAATTTAATATATGAATACACACAAAGACCTATTAAATTTTTAACATACGCTGCATTTTTTCTATTTCCTTCAGTTTCATTTTGCTTTCACGCCATCTAAAGATTTATTTTATTAATGCATGGTAAAGGATTTTTTTGAAACATTTGTCAGAATTTCCTTTAGAAGCACAGAGACCAATTAAAATTTGAACGGTTGAAAAAAGAAATGTGTCTAAAATTAATCAAACTTTTCACTTATCACTGCAACAACTTTTCGCATCAACCTCTCTGTAGTCTTCAGCTGCGGGTGTTGCATGCCACGCCTCCTGCCACAGTGTTTTCAATGCTATGCGCACTCGTGCCATGGTGCTCGAATGTGCCGATTACAGCGCCCCACCACTGGCACTGCCACGGCTCTATGTGTTGTACAGGCGCTGCAGCGACGTGATGTCAAAACAAATGAAAGTCATAAGAAACGGCAGGCAGTCCTCAGCTCCCTGTCTGCCATTGGCAAACAAACAAAACTTTTGGCAACAAACAAAAGTTCGCGTTCTCCCGCTCAGACCCAGACTCTGGGCTCAATTCAAGCCGCAGCAAGGCAATGTTGAGCATAAAAAATTATTTGCAACAATTGCCATCATCTTCGACGTAGGCTGGGCTGGGTTGGGCTGCTGCCGAGCGAAGCAGCTGAAACGTGACGGCTCCCGGCAGCAACGGTTACGGCGGCACAGACACTTCGATTTTTCAATTCGACTATCAGCGGCTTTGATTTTCCGAGGAAAGTCTTCAAGTCCAAACACGGGCATTAGGATGAATGAAAATGTGAATGAGAATCAGAATGGGAATGTGAACGTGAATGTATCTGATGATGATGATGAGGATGCGAAACGATGAAAAATGATGCTTGGCACTCGTGCCTTGTGTGCCACATTTCAGTTTTAGCATTTTTAAAATATATCGCCAGCGTTGCCAGCATTAAAAATTCTTGCAATTAGTTCGACAAGTCGTAAAAAAATTTCAATTGCTTATGTTCTGTTTTTCATAAACATTTATCCGTTCAGCGCCATAATGCCACGCCTCAACCGACGTTTTGCTTAAGCCAAAAACAGCAGCAATTTAAATTACTCGCCTTAATACACTAAAAATGGTGCAAAGATTAATGAAAATCATTTTTCTTTTGATTGAACTAAATTGCTTAAGTTTTATATATTTTATATATGCGTAGCTTTCAGAATTGTGATAAAAATCGCATGTCTTCTCGTGTTAAAACTGCTCTTTTCACAAAATTAAAATATTAAATTTTGAAAACTTTAAGAGTATAAAACATTCGGCATACCAGAGACAGCTGCTCAGCTTTTTCCCTCCAGATGATGTCGCGCCAGCTACGGCCATAAAAAACGCAATTGTAGGTATTATAAATTTGACATGTTATTTTCGTCGCCTCGTCAGAATAAAATGCTCATATGAGAATATTGCGTCATTTGAGGAAGCAAAGAGAAGACGTCGTCAGCGAATGGTTGGCATATGAAATGAATTTGGCCGGGAACTGGACTGGAATGAGTTGTGATGTGATGGAATAATGTTCTACCCGTAGTCAGGGCATTGCGACAGATGTGTTATGCGACATACTAAAATTAAGTTAAGATCTTTAAATGAGATATTGATGTGTTTCTAAAGAGAAAATGCGATAATAACGTCATTTGAAAAAATAATAGGCATGATTACCATTCAGTGACAGTTCTAGAACCATTTCAGATTTATAAAGATAGACAGGAAACTAACTACTCTGAAAGATCATGTCGAATTCGACGAATTAATTGTATTTTTCAAGACGGATATTCTTGTATCGCAATTCTCGTTTGCCCCCAAGAGCAAACTAATAAATGTCCTGTATTGATATATGCACAGGCATTTGCAAATGGACTCTTCAGAATAAATTGTGCTTTCATTTATCGCACGAAAATATTTCTTTTGCATATTTCAACGCACTCACAATTGCCGAGTTATACGTCTAATGCGCAATTTACGATCGGGCAACATATTAAAAATTTAAATTAATTTCAAACTTTTTGACGAGTGGCACTGCTGCGACTGGCAACTGGGGCGTATGATGAATATCCAATGACTGTCCAACTCAGACAGCGGGCGGCGAATGCAAAGAGATTTGCCATTTATTATGCGCACTGACATCGCTTTAGCTTTTGCTGTGTTAGATTTGCATTGCCATTTTTTTTTTTAATAAAGTTGAAACAATATTTTACACACCCACACACACACACATACAGACACACTAATGCGGCAGCGGTGTTGCCTAGACAAGCTCTGCCTGAAGCGTTGCTGTAAAAACTGTTCTTGAAGCATTTATGTCAAATTTATGTTAATATATTTTACAATCGTCGTTTCGGTCTCACCCCGTGCCCCATGTCACATCAGCGTGTGTGTTGTCTTTTGAGGCTCAAAATCTGCATAAATTTCCCAGGCAGCTCTTAGCTCCCTGCTCGCATTTCTTATCAACAACAGCATTGGGCAAGTTTCTTGCGAGCATCGTGTGTGTGTTGTGCCTTTGGTAAATAGAGTCATAAAAATTGCCGTTGCCGCAAAAACAAAAGGAAAAAAGACTTGCAGATTCGTTACACGTTATATAACACCGCCCTCAAAACCAGTAGCTGGGTAATGTGAGCCAAGTCATGCCCCCAAACTGTTGGCCAAAAAGTCACTCGCATGCGGCACACCGCCGACGACGACTTGGAGGCGACAGTTTGTGCCACTTTGAAGCCTGCCATACATGGCACACTTTTCTTCGCATTTCAAAGCCTTAAAGTTGCTTACTTGAAAGAACTAAACAACAGTCATATGTGTGTGTGTGTGTCTTGTTGTTGTTGTTGTTGGGGTGTGTGTGTGTGTGCTTATATCTTCATGTCTGCCACTCAAAGGGTTCACATTTGTTGGCGTCTTTTCGCCGACAATTCGTTTCGGGTGTTGCTTAAACGACGCAATAAGCTTAGCACTTTCCACCAGCCAAAGAAAATCTCAGGCTGAATTTTCATTGCTTCTGCTCGACTTGAGTTGAGTTGGGTTGCGTTGGTTTGGGTTGGGTTTATAGCTCGATTTGATAAGCCCCAGCAATGCTGTGTCAACTGCTATATTTTGTGTGTGAATGTGACGTCATTGTTCATTGAAAACTGCGCAGCATGCAAATTTTCCTTTTCATTTTTTTTATTCATTGTATATGCGCAATTTTCTATTTTGCCACTAAGGCAATTATTTGTGGTCAGTGCTCATATGTCTTCCCATATTGAATATGAAACCCCGTAAAATCGGTCAAGCATGCCATGCTTGCCACCACGCCGTACGCAATCCGAATTTATATATGTATGTGTAGGTGTGTGTGTGTGCGTGTGTGGCTTGTAATGTTGCCCCTGGGGTGTGCGTAACTTTTATTTTATGGGCACGGATGATGAGGGCGCTTTGGGAGCAACAAAAACGATTGAATAAAGAAATCCAGCCGGTACAACAGGCACACGCAATGTTTCGTTACTTTTTCGTTACGTATGCTGGCAAATAAAAATCTCAAGTTAGCGACACCAAATGAATGGCCCCGCCCACCGCCCACTCACCCAAAACTCATGGCAATTTATAGGCACGACTTTGCCACCGATGTGGAATTGGGTTTGGTTTCCATTCAATCCAATGGGGTGCTGCTGCTCCAAAGCTGCCATAATGTTGCGTATGTAAGTTGGGTTACGAGTTTTCGCCAATCCGTAACTCCTCCGGCAAAAGAAAGAAGAGTGGGGGAAGGGAGAAGGGTGCTGGCATTGTTGCGGCTGTGGCAGCAAAAGGCAAAAAATCTTTAGCAACGATTTCCCTAAATACTGCCAAATTTCCGGCATATTACAATATCAGTACAGCAACATCATCAGCAACAATGTTAGCGGAAAAATGAAATCACGCGAAATTTTTACAACGCGTCTTGACTTTTTCCTGCGGCTGACTGGCAAATACCATGGGCAAGACTGACAATTCATTGGGGGAAAATAAAGTAACCTAATTTATACATCGATATTCAAAATTCTTGAATATGTATTTTCGTAAAGTAACATGTTTAAAGCTGATACCAATTCGATATTTATTAGAAGAATTTGAAAGACTTTTAGCTAAACTTTCAATCTTAAGCCATATACTGACGATTTGTGCAGGCAGAAAGCTTACATGTTTAAGACCACAGATTAGTCTTTTGACTCCCATAGTCAACGATGTCGATGCGAAACGGAACATATTACGCATTAAATGTGGCCGCGTACTTACGAAGAACTTCCCAGCCATTGTGTGGTTCTTGTAAACTTTTGCGGCAAGCGAACGATGTGAAACGCATTACATGGCTGGGCCAACGGGGCGGACGTGGTGGCAGGGGCCGCGGAAACTGTGTGTGAGCCGGAAACGAGCTACAAAACTTTCACCTCGAGCGGTGCTCAACTGCACGTTGCTGTTGCTGTTGTTGTTGTTGCTACTGTTACTGCTGCTGTGACTCTGAAAAATATGAAATTCCAAAAGGAAACTCGCTATAAAAAATGGGAAAAATATGCGCGCACGCACACAAAAAGACAGACAGACAGACGGTCGGACGGACGGACGGGCAGAAGGACGCAATATGTACAGCACGGGACTGCGGCATATGCTGCACTTGAACACGAACATGGATGGGAAAAGGAACGATGGCGGAGACGGAGTCATGTCATGCCCTTCCTGAGGCAACCGGTGTCACCGAAAAGGTCGCTCCGAGATCAAAATGATTTTCAATTTAACGCGTTTACGTGCGGCCATTTGTCTGCACCTGAAGCGGTATTTATGCTAAAGAAAAAATAAAAAAAACACACTTCAATATCCGGCGCTGCGCTTGACCGGAGTCCGAACGAGGGGCGTTGGGCGTTGGGCATCGGCAGGCAATTACTTTACAATTACAAACATTTTCACAATTTTAATATAAAAGGTGCCTGAAAGTATGCTGCGAGTTTCTTCAAGTCGAATTTGAAATTGAAAAGCGTTTGTGCAAATAAAAAACAAATTTGCGCATAATTTAAAGAAATTCTTCTTTTTTTTTGTACACATCTATAAAGAAAAATGTATGAGCGTGTTTATGTTGGCTTGAATACTTTGCAAATTAAAATCAACCCGAGGCGCTCGCACAAATATTGATACATTCTAATGGATTTCACATACTCAGACACGCATTTACACACGCCCACACACACTCACACTCAGAGCGAGAGAGAGATAGAGAGAGGCTGCCGCAAGAGGCAGACAAGAAGTTTTTATCGTAGTTAGGCAGCTGCGTCAACAGAATCGTCCTTGCGAATGGCTAACAAACATTGGCCCAAAAATCACTTGGCTCCCTATCTTTTATTTATGTTATTTATCGCAACTGCCGCTGGCTGCGTTCGCCTTAAAGCCTTTAAATCCTTAGCCCGTACCTTTTTTGCTGTTGTTGTTGTTGTAGTTGTTGTTGTAGTTGTAGCTGCCGTTGCTGATGTTGCTGCTGTTCCGCGCTGACAGTCGTTGATTTGTCGCTGGCATTTGTTTATCGGCTGACTGACTGACTGAGTGACTGACTGACGAACGGACTGACTGAACTACGAATCGAGATGAGGGCGCCCTTAATCCCGCTGAATGTGCCTTAATTATCGCCAATGCCACACGCAGAGCAAACGTTAAGCATTCGCTTTAATTTAAAGCGCTTTAATTGCTCAACAAATGGACGACTAATCACCAAAGCTCAACAATGGCGCGCACGCAAAGCGGAAGCGGAAATTCACAGAGCCAAAAGCGAATGCCGCCTGCCCACACCCATATCCCCTGAGTCTGTGCAACATTGTGTAGAGCTTGCAACAGAAAGCGCCAGCTGTGCTCATACATACAAACACACTCACACACACACACGTATGTAATGCAGATGAGCTGCGCATTGAATGAGTATGCATAAAGGGGCAAAAGTTACTCGTGCGCTGTGGCAACTGCATTTGCGGTAAGCCACGACGGCGTCATGGTCGTTGCTCCTGCTCCATTCCTTATGGCCGACCAGCGATGGGCCAAGTTGCGTTTAAGTTCTCTAGCTCGCCCTTCCTCTCGTTGTCTTCTTATATTACTTTCTGCTTTTTCTTTTCTGGTCTCTTTTCTTTTCTCTGGCATTTCTTTTGTTTTTGTGCATTTAGGCAAGAACGGCCGCCATTTCGTTGTGTTGTGTCACTTAAGCATATGCGCAGCTTCAAGTAGTTGCATCCAGATGTGCCCACAGTGTATCAGTGTGTGTAGGTGTATGTGTAAGTGTGTGCGTCTGTGTGTGAGCATGTGTGTTCACATCTATGTTAAACGCTTTGCATTGTTATGCTATCTCATTGTGTTTGCTGTTGAATTTAATATCTTCTCCAAGAATTGCCACAAAGCTTAATTGTTTGACGTGTGCCAGCATCATTATAGAAAATATTATAGGTAGAGCATTGGGTTTTCAAAGTGGAACTCGTTTTAAAGTCTTGTCTATTAAACTTTGAACTTCTTTTCTGTTTGTTATTATTATGAGAATATTTGTTTGCAACTTGACAATTGCTCGAATTCCATTTACCCACGCTTCAGTCAACAGTTAATTGCCGTTTCGCATAAGCCACGTGTGTAAACGGTTTTCATTTTCTTTAGCATTTTGTGTGTTCTTGGTTTTTATGAACGCCAACGTTTGTGTAATACACTTTACTGCTGCCTCTGGGCGTGTTGCAGCTCGAACAACTCTAGCGCCCAAGCGCCTTTTCGTAAATTCAATGTCCCAAATGGGATCTAAATGCAACTGGCTGTATGCACGTGTACATATATGTGTCTGTGTGTGTGTATTGCTGTTGTAGTTTCATCGATGCATTTGCGGTTTTTGCTAGTTTTGTCGCTGACTCCTTGAAAATTTGCCTCGAAGTTCTCGAGAAGCACACAAAAACCAATTCATTATCTTTCACTTTGGCACTCACTACACACACACACACACACACACACATATATATATATATATGCATACAGTGGCACACACACCCACTCTTAATGGCAAGAGCACAGCAGCCAGGCACACACTCGCACACTTGAAGCACGTCGCTGCTTGACTTTATTTTCGACTCGTACTCGCAAACCCCATTCCACCGCCCCCCACCTACCCTTTGGTGACCCCCAGAGCTGAGTTTTAAAGGTATTCTATGCGAACATTGTCTAAGTTTTGTGGGAGTCGAGCGCTTTTGGACCCGGCACCAACTTGCACTTAACACAATTTCGACGCACACAAAAGACTTTCACTGCGTCGCAGCAGCCACCAAAAGCTCGCCCCAACCAGCACAGCCACCCACCCACGAGCACCGTCATCAACATCACCACCACCACCACCACTGTGGGGGAGGCCAAGTTTTTTCTTGCCAGCGAATTACGCGCCGCTTTTGTTACGCCATCAAAGCGTCTGTTCGTGTGTGGAACAAGCGCGTGCAACGCCTCAGGCGGCGCCACGTGGCATAAATTAATCTTCTCACTAAATTTGCCATCCATCGTATCTCTCTTCCATCCACCAATTTCGGAACGCATTTGCATTCGCATTCGCATTCGCGTTCGCGTTCGCTTTGAGCAGCTATTTGGACCTGGCGGCACCAAACTGGAAGATGACTACGAGGATCCGCCCGTTACACTGTTGCGTGGCCCACCCGGCCCACCAGGCACGGCTGGCAAGGACGGACGAGACGGACGTGATGGCAGCAAGGGTGACGCAGGCGAGCCTGGAGAGCCGGGCTCCTTGGGTCCACGTGGCTTAGATGGTTTACCGGGCGAGCCGGGAATTGAGGGACCACCTGGCCTGCCGGGCTATCAAGGACCACCAGGTGAAAAGGGCGATCGCGGAGATATTGGTCCACCTGGCCTAATGGGACCTCCGGGCTTACCAGGACCACCGGGCTATCCGGGCGTCAAGGGCGACAAGGGCGATCGAGGTGATTCGGTGAGTTAGACATCTCTTTGTGATTGTCGATAACTAATAATTAATTTAATTGCAGTACCGTAAGATGCGACGTCGCCAGGACGATGGCATGTCGGATGCACCACATATGCCCACCATTGAATATGTAAGTCATCACAACTATCCTTCTCCCTCAAGCAGTACAAGTAGATGTGTTATTTCTATTAACAAACAAAAGCTTTATGGACCACCCGGTCCACCTGGTCCGATGGGCCCACCTGGACACACCGGCTCTCAAGGCGAACGCGGGTTGGATGGTCGCAAGGGTGATTCCGTAAGTGCAAGAGACACATTTATCCAACACGAAATTAATGCTACTTTCTGTACAGGGTGAAAAGGGACACAAGGGCGACCAGGGACCCATGGGCTTACCGGTAAATAGCTGAACATATTATTCGCAAAACCGTTAATAATTGTATCTTTTGTGGTATACCTTCAGGGTCCAATGGGCATGCGTGGCGACTCCGGTCCATCCGGTCCGGTGGGCAAAGCTGGCGTTCCGGTAAGTGACAATTGATGGGGCACTTTTATTTTTATGAGCTTACTAAAAAATTTATTGTTTGGCTTTTCTGTTGCTACAAAATTGTTGTTGCTTTGGTAAATCGTAAATTGCGAATCGTTTTAATCGTTAATGTGACTAAAAATTGTTTAACCTTTTATATGTTCTTGTATCTCTCTCTCTCTCTTTCTTCAACCTGGAACAGGTGTGGGGCGACTACTAATCCAACTTACATACAAGTGCAGTTTAATTATAAATAACAAACACATTGCGCCAAAAGACAAATGAAATGCGATAAAAAAAAGAGATTACACACACACTTACACACTCACTTCACAAACACACACATACACACACAAACGAATACCATAAAAAAGCACACACATATACACATACGCACAGGAGGCTGAACCCTGCGGATAAGAAAGATTACAAAATAAGAGAAAATTAAATATGAAATAGGCATAGGAAATGTTAACGCGCTGACCCCACTCAGTTTTATCGTCTATATCTATTTAGTCGTACATAGCGTAAATAGATCTCTGTGTATATGTATGTATGTATGTATGTATGTATATCAAATTGTACATACAAGCGAAATCCAATAATCCAAAATATATCAGCCGCATGCCAGTTAAACTTCGATTCATATCTATGTTGATAATTGATGAGACCCCCAGTGCAAAAACCCCTGCATGCGACTAACCCGCAAGCTAAATAAAATACAAATGAATACAAATTAATGATGATGCATTCATATCAAATGAAACATAACAGAGCCATAGCACAATTTGTGGTTAGCCCGAGCCCAAATGAGTATTTATGTATACAAACAAATCGAAATAGTGACAAACATAATTATTTCGAAAGAAACAAGCGATCGCACATATTTACACCAATCAATTGTATCAACTACGACTAAATTGAGTATATATGTATAAGTATGTATATACATATTCAGACAGTGGGGGGCCTATAAGCAAATATGCAAACACCGAAAGCAAAGAAGACAAAAAACAAACAAACAAACAAGCTCTCAAATATGCTAACAAATATGCAATGCAAATGTTTTAATTGCATTTCATTTGCCGCTGCGCTCGTCGCATATCCGAGCAGTACATTCAAGTAAAAGCAATGCAACAGCAGCAACAGCAACTGCAACTGCACCAGTGGCAACAGCAACAGTTGCAGCAGTGGCATCAGACATTGCATAAATCATGCAGACTGCTTGCTTCTGAGAAAATCGTATTGTGGCTACAATTTGGCTTAAATATCTTACATATACAGCAACGGTGTTATTCAATCGATCCGTTAGTTACTTTCTTGATTGACCCATAAATTATATTGCCAGCCACAAAGTCAATATATATGTATATTTGAAGTGCTGTTGCCTCCCTTGCTGCTGTTGCATTAACTTAGGTGCCGTCCAGAGGCTTTGTCGTATATTCAAATTCAAGGATGCCAAAGCTTCAGTGCTTGACAAAAGGAAACAGCAATAATAATAAATATATATGTATACATATATAAAGAAATATATATTGTAGTAGATGATTAACAAATTTCAGTAAATATCCACAAATAAGTGAAAAGTGTAAAATAATATCTTTAAAGATTTGTCTCAATGTTTGATGTTTTTAATGTCTACAAAAAAAAAGAAAAAAGAAAAAAGAAAACTGTTTACTATACAAATTGAATACACATAAAATACAAATTGATAACGCATCTAAAAAATACTCGTAAATAATTGTAATATCATGCGATAACAACAAAGAGCTATCTTCCAATTGTGCATATTTTTCAGTGTTATATCTAACTTCAATACAAATCGCGTTGAAACATAAATTAGTTAGGCTAAAGTTTAAATATACCAAATAGTCTATACGAAATTTGGAAAGTCATACAAACTATGGAAAAAAAAAACAAAAACACAATAAAGCATTGGCAATAACATCGGCTGGCCGGTGAACAACAAAGCGGCCTCAGAATACCCTTTATTCTCCTTTAATTACAACATCACTATCCGAACGAGTATCCAATTAAAAGTGTTTACAATTCGCTTTCTTTGTATGCGAATTAATTGAGAATATCTTCAACAATAAATACATAATCTTATCATGTATCCTATTGGTTTCAATTAGCATCTCAAATAAATTAGAGCAAATCTACCTTTCGAAATAACGAATAGAGTGCAGAAAATGCAAAATCAAAAAGGAATTTGCATTTAATAAATAAAATGCGCAAGCAAAATCGAACAATAATATAAAAAAAATAATAATAATAACAATGGCAATGGCAAATGCAAATGAAATCAATAATATGTATCGGAATTATAAAGCTCGCTCAGCATTTGCATAACACAAACACAACCATCATTGTGTATATGCATTTTTATAAAACAAAGCCTAAAAGGACTTTTGCATAAGAGTATTGGAAATTACAAAAATATATAAATATATGTATGTCAATTTATTTTCAATTAGATGTATCGTTCCAGACAAAATGGAATTATAAAAGAAAATGAACAACATTCGCAGCCCATTTCGCATGTCAATTTTAAGTTAACCAACCTCAAGGTGTATATAATATGTCAACTAACCATAAGATATGATATTTATTGAGCGCTCTATTGATCAGCTATGCAATAAGCTTCATATAGCTCTCTTATTGCTCTGATTGCGTTTCACTCCAATTTTCACACTTTAATCTTCGAAACTTTGAAACCCTCTAACCTTTTGTCTAACTAACTAACTCACTCACTCAATGTAACCCGAGATCCATAGGCTAGAATAATGAATTGTGCAGTCTCTAGTAATATGTTCTATCGGCAAGTGCGCATTACATTTAACTTAAACATTAGCATTAAATCCAAAATTATATTTAAATTCAATTTGAAAATAAACTTCATAAGCTGCTAACGTAACTTGTAAGTGTACATTTGTTAATTACGTATCAAATTACGTTTTGCAATTACGCACATAATATGTATATGTATATATATATATATATATGTATATGTATATGTATTTATGTGTATTAATGTCTATACATATATGAATTGTGTATGTATGTCAATTTACGTATAAATATGAAAATTACAATGAATTACGCTAATCTCAAAAAGGCAACGCCTTCACAGGCAACAACAAACAAATTGTAAGGCGGCTAATGAAATCAATATCATTTTCATATTAATTATGCATTTTCAATAAAGTGATGGTTTTTTACTAAAACAAAAACAAAGAAATTCAGCACACTCATTTGTATATAAATACACACATCCAAAAAGTAACCACAAGAAAACCAAAAACCAAAAATAATCCCAATATGAATTCGACATAGTTTTGGTTTTTTTGTTTCAAGCATTTGTTGACGCTTTTTCCACTTTCATTCTTAATTGCTACAGGGTCCGCCTGGCTTGGATGGCATGAAGGTATATTAACCCAATTTTGTCAGCTTCGATTTTGGCCATTGTCTAACTGAAATCTTTGTTTTCCCACAGGGTGCACAGGGCGAGACGGGTCACAAGGGAGAGCGCGGCGATCCGGGTCTACCGGTAAGCAAAACCTTAAACATTATACACCAACGATGATGTGATGTATTACATATGTATTTATACAAGTATTTATTTACATATACGCACACACACACACACACATATGTGTTTCTCTACCTTATGTGGTTTACTAATTTGAATAATTTGTGTTTCTTCTCTTTATATTGTTTTTTATTTTTTATACGTATGCATGCAATTCTCTCTTTCTCCTTTTTGGCGCCGCACTCTGTTTTCAATCTATGCGAAACCCCTACACGTTCACATCTCTCAACCTTTTTGACCCACATACACACACACACACACATACACACTGACAAAACACACTGACAAAACACACACATGCACACATGCCAAACATTCTTACAAAAAAAATAAAATAAATAAATAAAAAGGGCACCGATGGCATACCCGGCCAGGAGGGTCCTCGCGGCGAGCAGGGCTCACGCGGCGATGCTGGGCCGCCTGGTAAGCGGGGACGCAAAGGAGATCGCGGCGACAAGGGCGAACAGGGTGTGCCCGGACTGGACGCGCCCTGTCCGCTGGGCGTTGACGGGCTGCCATTGCCGGGTTGCGGCTGGCGGCCGCCAAAGGTTAGCATGCGAAAATATTTCACTTTCTAATTGGCTAAAACTAATACAACGTTGAACTTTGCATGCGCCACAACCAAATTGCTCTATGCATATCTATTTGTTGTTGTTGTTCTTATTATTATTGTTGTTGTTGTTGTTGTTGTTGTTGACTAACTCGGTTAACTAACTTTTGCTTCCATACACTAATACACACACACAAACACACACGCACAAATACACACACATAAACACATATGCAAAACACGAATGGCACAGGAGCCCATCATCTCAACGCCCATGCACAAGGACTATTTGCCGGATGTAACACAGCCGGAGAGCAATGCCAGCGATTATGAGCAAGAGGAGGACGAGGACGACGAACAGCCTGAGGATAATGAAAACGAATATGATGAATATCAGGAAAATTTGCATAACAATGACTAAAACGGAAATGGCCACACGCAAAACGACAAAAGAGCAAACACAAACTCAGACACTGAAACACAGCCAAAGCAAATAGATTTCCTACACACTCACTCACACGCATACACATACACACACACACGCACACATGCATACATAAGTAGGGACATACAGACAAAGAGACAGACACGCACAAGCGACTAGTTAAGCATTTCCGATTTTAGCAGCGAACTTGGCTCCATTTCGCACTCTGTTGACACATGCAATTAGCGCTAACCGATGCCGAGTGGCTCCTACCCCTTATGGCTGCTAACTATAGTCGATTCTATTAGCATACGCACACTTCACACACACACACACAACGCACATGCACACACACACACACACACTCACACCCCACCTACACTCTACATTTCCATCTACATTTTGTACACTCGCTGGCTTGGCTTGGTGTTGGAACTTTGAGCTGAACATACAAATCGCTTTGTTTTTGGTATCAACATTTGGCCACTCTTGGTATAACATTCTGTTTCGCCCATCGCAGGAGAACTGGCAGACATGGCTGAAGGACGAACTGAACGCGCTGCAGCACACGAAAACAAGAAACTAATTGCCTCAGCTGCAAACGCGTTCCAGCCCAGCCCCCAGAATTGGTCGTGGGGGCGTAGCTCAGCAATATCCAGTTGAACCTTAGCACTTTGGTTTTAATTTTAGTAATTTGTTATTGTTAATGTAGAAATCGAACCAAGCTTTGCTATCAACCATCAAAAAAAAAAAAAAAACAAACACAGACTATCACTACATACACTATATACATACATAATATGTGCCAAAATCTTTGCGAATCGCAGCAGACTCCAGTTCTAGGTATTTTGCAAAATTAACATTTATTTGTACTCTTAATTTACATGCATACCAACAAACATATATCTATAATTATATATTTATATATATACATATATATATAAATTGTAAACGTTGTATCTACTACTACTGATATCTTTACTACTTTTTCTACTACTATAAGCAGCGTATCATAAAAGGAAATATTTGAAAAAATTAAAATATTTAAATATACATACAAAGTAAAAAGAAAAACATTGTTTTATTCTATTTCTTTACTCTATAAATAAATTAAATTTTTCTGAAAAATTATTCAAGGAAATTTTTTTCAGGCTTACAAGTTCTTAGAAGAAACCTTATTCTTAAATCGGGTGACTCAGTCTGTTAATTGTGGTATTTTGCTTTAGGATGGGCATGTACCATATGATATCAAATGTATTCAAAATTATATTTCTTTTTTTAATTAAAACCATTTAATATTAATATATATATAATCAAACAATTGTGTGTTCAGTTTTATCTTTACCAAAAACGACACGCTGATCTTTTAATTTAAGGTAATCAGTAAATAGTATTTTGTGATTACAATTAAGATTAAATATATATCAAGTTAAGTACACACTTTGTGAAATACTAATTACAGTTTTTCGTCTGTCAGGTGAAAATATGATCGTAATTCTATATATATTGACTTTGTAGGTTGTTGTTTAAGATATCAAATGCATGCACCAGCGACACGATGCTGATGTCTTGACTAAATTACTCTAAAGCAATACAAGTGTGACATACTTTTAGGGGCACACATGCGAGGGTTCGCTAAAGTCACAAGGAATAGCGCTATCAAAATGCATTCAAGGATTATGGAGAATTTTTTCAGAAACAAGGACGATTCACTCTTGTTTCCTTAACAAAGAAAATGTTTAGCATAGAACTCGCAAGGATCTGCCAACATAGGGTCAAGCTTCGACTAATTTTCCTTAAAAGAAAGTCATTTTATACGTTTAAAACAGTTGAAGACAGTAATTGTTGTAATTGTCTTGATCAAATCGCCAGGCTCAAGACGATCTTTTATCTTTTTAAATCCATGTAAATCTCATAAAAAATCTAATTTTAAATGAGGCAACATGAATCCATATCTCCCATGTATTCTTTACCTTGGAGAGCTAACAACAACTATTTTTTATTCAGCTTCAGAATAATTAACCAACAACTTAAGTGGTCTTTAAATATCTAGTCAAGAATCTTAATTTTTTCCTCATTAAAATTCAAACTTCAATATATACTAAACAGATAATTAAGCGCGTAAACTATTTCTCTTAGAGATTTTATAATGATCATTTTATTGAGCATTAATCTTAGAGAGCTCGCGCTATTAAATAGCAATGAATCTCTTAAGAATTACGGCGCACGTTTCAAAACTGAAACGGTTTCTTGATGCGCGGAGAGTCGAAGTGAATTTTTGCGGAAAATCAAATGCTCTCAGCTGCGCTGCCACTTGTCGCCAAAGTTATTCTCAAAGTCAGGCAAGGCCAACGAAACGACGTACAAAAGCTCGCCGCTACAAAACGCTAAGCGCACAGCTTTCGCCAAACGAGCTTTTGACGTTACTTTTGAAATGCGAATAAAACACAAATTCAAACTGCAGACATTTATAAAATCGTGCAACCGGAAAGCTTTTGGAGCATCTGTGTGCGTTACACTCGGAAAGCCACAGCTTTGTGGCTATGTATGCGCATAGCAAGTGAGTTATACACACATGCAGTTGCATAAATTACGTAGCCGCCCCCGCGGGATGGTAAATCGCTGCGAAGTGCACACAAGCTAGACAACGTAGCTGAACCGAAGGTTATTTGTTGCCCCAAGTAAAATTATAATTTTCATAAATTGCCACCCAATTGCTGATTTTATCGGTTTCCATAACATGGGGCGGCGACGACGAGGATTTCAAATTGGGGCGCCACCCCCGACGGCCAGTGGAACCGCAACAAGTAATAGCTTTTGTTGTAGATGTTTAGCATTTATTGTTTGTAATTTGTTGGAACACTTTACATTTATATTTATATTTAAACGTCAGAGATTGGGACGATAAACTACGACTACACACACAAAACAATTTGACAGTTTAATTGGTTTAATTTACGCATTAACAGCGTTCACAAGATAACACGAATCCTGTTCTAATTGAGCATTGGGATATATGTAAATTTCATATTGAGTTTGCACATCCAACAATTAGTCATACATAGTTAGATATTAGTAGTATATAAAATGTACATAAATAGAGATTTTCGATTTAATTAGTTTTTGATTTAATTAATTTTTGATTTAACAAATTGGGCTACCAAATTAGAACATTGAATTGAGCAAAAGGTGAGTTGAGTACCGTTGACAAGAACATTTAATTATAAAACATCAGAGCATTTGGGAGTGCTAACTGCTAACTGCTAACTGGACTATAAATTGCCAAAATTGAAATGGAACTTGAGGTTGCCTGTTAACTCAGCATTAAATTAGAATTGAAATTTGATATTTTACTATTTGCATTTACTAACAGTGACAAAGACCAAATCGATCAGGCATCTCTGGACTGCAGTTAGAATGTGGTCTTGCCAAAGATGAAGTTGCCGGGGGCGTTCGCATCCTCGGCAGCAAAATACTCCTTCCACAAGTTGGCGAACTGCTCGCGAGTCACATCGTCCTGACCCTGGGCCATTTTGCTGAATGCCTCCTCGCACTCCTTCTTGTCCAGCCCATAACTGGAGCAGACCAGCGTAAATTCCTTCACATCGATGCCGCCATCATGTGAGGCATCCTCCAAATCGAACATAAAGTTCATATACGCATTCTGCCAGTCCATTACGCTGCTGGGATCCTTGGCGTATGCGTCCCACATGTTGCACCATTCATCCACGCTGACCTGCAGCACAATGATAAGCAGAAAGTGTGAGTGAGAGTTAGAGAGACAGAGAGAGAGAGAGAGAGAGAGAGAGAGAGAAGTCTATTTGAAAGGCATCAATTTATGTGTAACGCTCCAATCGCGCTGAAAAGCACATAAAGCATCTTGCCGCAGGTGGGCGTGTCAGCTGCTCATAAAACATCATAATGGCTGGTGTGCGGTGGGGGTTGGGGTTGGGGTCCGACTTCATGCGGGCTGTAATTTATGCGATCTGCGCATTATGCCCAACCGTTTATAAGCGATTCTTTTTTGTTGTTCTGGCAAACAATAGCAATTACCGCAACATCAGCAATCGACGCCTTGACCAAATTGAACAAGTTACTGCTCCTTGACCCACCCGGCTAACAAACTTTGACTACGAGCTGCTGTTTATAGTGGAGCAAAACGTTAAATTTGGTCATAGCTGAGGTGGATGGTCATGTTTTAATGTGCTCATAAATAAGCAAAACACCAGACAATGTGCGGTCAGCGCCATCAATTGCAGGGTGAATTGACAGACCCGAATGCCCCCTCCTTGCCCTAAGTCCCATAACCGCCCTCAAGTTGAACTAACTGCATATTTTTAATGTTTATTGCATCTAAATGGTGCGCGTTGCCAAATTGAAATGCCAAAAGGGCCATACAAACACAGACGCACACACACACACATGGACATATCCTTGGCCGTGTCTCTGGCTAGCTTTAGCTGTTCCAGTTGTTGTTTATGTATGGTTGCCGCTTCCTTTTTCCAAATTTGCTTCTGCTTTTGCTTTGTACTGTCTAAAATGAGTTAAGGCTGCAACTATAAATCCAAATATGGGCAGCGTGAAGCCCAAAGACTGCACAAAGGCCGCAAATAGTTGACTTCAGCTTATTTGCAGCGAACTTTGTCAAGTTGCTGGCTAAGTGCCAAAAACTTTGCGGCTATCTGTGCCACAATCAAAGTGCGGCAAACTGCTGCCGAACCACATCAAGCTGCGGGGACAATACAGACCTGAAGCACCTGCAACTGCAACTGCCCTTTCATTCTACAAATAAGTATTTTGAAGCACGGCTTGCTCCATAATTTAATTTGTGCAGTCGCAGTCTGATTAAGGAATGTGCACGGAATACATCTTTGTGGCGGAACCGATCCCAAAGCCGAGCCCAAGCGGCTGTAAAGTTTGTCATTGTAATGAGCAGCGGCCTGGAAAACTAAACTGAAGTCGTGGCCCGGAACTGCGACTGCATTACTCAAATAATTCACAATTCAATTTCCGTCCATTGTTGTAGATGTGGAATTTGCTTACTGGCACACAGCCACCCGCCAACAACCAGCCCCTCCACAGCAATAAAAAGAAAATTTATGAACAGTTTTTTTTCTCTCCTCTCCGGGCGGAATGCGACTGACATTGTCATTTTTGCAGTTACACGTTTTCAGAAATATTATCTATGTGTGTGTGTGTGTGTGGGTACGTGTGATGTGGCGAGAACCACTTCACAACAGCTGACAATGGCATCGAGTACAGGCCATAGATTTCACACTTTCACTACCGACAATGGAGCCATTCAAAATGGCAAGCAGTAAACCCAAAACGAATCACTTGACATGCAGTTGCCTTTTCCTTTATTGTTGCACACAGACAACAACACTCCCACACTATGATATTCAAATTGACTGGCTGTGGACTCACCTGGCCATCGTTATCCTTGTCAGCCTTCGATCGGAGACCAGTCCAAATTTCCATCATGACGTCGTAAGTCTCCTTGTTCTTTGGTGTGTCCTTTGCCCAACCGCGCAGTTTGCACACACGCTGCAAACAACAACAATAACACCAACAAATTTCAGCATAAATTGAGTTATCAGTTACGAGCTAAATAAACAAAAAAAAAAAAAACAAAAAAAAACTCAATTGCCCAAAACCAAACAAAAAACAGCCAGTGAAAATGGCATGTAAAATCAGCAGGAGACCAACAAAAAATCGGCAAGATACTTTTTAGTATGCACATTTTTGTATTAAGTTTAGCTGTTTTTTATTTTATACATTCAGCTATTGCATATTCATCAGCAGAAATTCTAATTTTTCCACATTTGTTTTGGCCGATTTGAATGGCTTGTGTTTTGCTTCTGGTCCACTTACCTCGATGGCCAGCTCGAAGTCCTTCACATCAATTTCGCCGCTTTGGTTCACATCTGTTTTGGTCGCGTTCGTATTTTGGCCAATTCCGCATGAGTTGCATTGTTTGCATATTTTCGTACAGTTGCAAGTCGGTTGTTTGTGATTCCAAAAAAAAACAAAAGCAATAAATCAATGAACGACTAAACGAGGGAACCTTAAAGCCACTTAAACGGCGCTGCTAGCACAAAGTTGTACTTCCAGAAATTGTCAGAGTGCCCATCAGATTTTTTTGCCCATGCCTACTTATTCTTGTGAGTTCCTTATTTTTTTTTTTTTGGCAGGTAGTTTGGCGCGGCGCCTGCATTCAAAGTGGGCATGTCATAGGCATTGGTGTTACGACTGCAACAGTCGTGTGCAAATGGACACTTCAAATTTCAGTGTCAAGTTTTTGGCGCCTGTATTTTATTGTGGTGGCAAGTGCAGGTGCTGCTGCTGCTGCTGAATGGCAATGGGCCAAAGGAGCCCGACTATCTGCTGCTTACTACCTGACAATTAGTCATCATCGAAAAGCACTCAACCTCTGTTGCACATTCGTTGGCCCACAACTGTGGCATATGTTCGCTTACAAAAGCAACAAAATTCTTGCCTGCTTTTCAGCGCACAATACAAATTTGCAAGTCAATTGTTTAAAAGTGCACAACTTCTGCGTAAGAGCCAGCATATGGAGTGAATAATGCCAACTCGCAAATAAGTGCACGCAATGTGCAGCGCATGTTGAAAAATTGAATTGAATAAATTGAAAGAAACTATGTTGCTGCTTTAACTGCATGAACTCGAGTGGCAGGTTCGATGAAGTTGTCTATTGGCACACATCTAGACGTTTAACACACATCTCACATATTCAGTTTAATTTCACAAAATAATTTGTTTTGCAGCTTTCATTAGGCGGAGGATTTCTGCTGCTACTCACCGAAGAAGACATTGAACAGGAACAGCAGCTTCTTTTTGCGAAAATCGGAGATGGACATTTTTATAGAAGTATATAAACTTTTCTTTCTGTTTTACTTTAAGCTTTGGGTCTCCGTTGTTTAGTCGTTGCACGTCAACAGCTGCAATGAAAGAACAATAGTAACACATAAAAGAGAAAGAGAATAATAAAAAAAAAGACCAAATAAATTACGCTGAGACTGAGAAATATCTGCAATTTTAAAGAGTACTCAATTAGGAGCGTGTTAGGCAACGAAATCTTGGCCCGCTGATGACTCGTAAAATGGGATGACGCTAAAAGTGCAACGCTTTGCCTTAGATGGTATAAGCTTGATGCCAGCTAATTCTGCAAAAGGAAATAAAATAAAACTGTCTAAGGATGCACATCCCTGCGCATCCCTGCGCGCTATGCAAATGCAAAAGTACGACGAGCTCTCAACTGCGAAACGGAGAGGGGCAAGCGGAGAAGGGGTATCTGTGTCTGTATTTGTGCTTGTCTCTGTGTCAGCATTGCGTGGCATGCCTCATTTAACCTTCAATCAAAAGCAAACAGCCAACGAGGCCAAAAGTGGTTCACTAAATCAGAGCATGCCATATAAACCACAACGCAGCCCATTCATCACACATGGGCATGGTCATTGTCAGCCTTAAACAGGCCGCTTTCTGCTTTTGTTGCACAGCCGTTAACCCGTGTGGGTGGTTGTTGTTATTGTTGCTATGTGCGTAAAGTGGGTGTGGCCATGGGCGTCATTCAAGCACTGTTTACTTTTAGTTTACTGTGGCCAAGCTACCGAATCACCTTGCAGCAATCTGCTGTTTTATTTATCATCTCCTCGCACTGCAGCAAAGGCAAAGCATATTTTTTGAACAAGGAAATTGCAGGCAGGATGTCAAGTGGAAAGCGCAATGCAATGAAACTGATGACGATGGCAACGACAACACACCAGATGCGGATGAGAATGCTGATGCGGATTCAGCTGTTCAGCTGATGCCAATGGCTTTACGGCTGGTTGATGAGCTGGCTGGCTGGCTGGCTGGCTGGATGGCTGGCTGGCCGTAAAGCTAAACGACTTTGAAAATGAAAAGCCATTTTCCTTTATAATAATGCACTTTGGAAAATAAATTAAATTTCTCATATTTCTTTACGCCAGCTACCTGATTAATAACAATAAACATTTTTATAACGCTCTCAATACTATTTGAAATTGCGATCTTGTCAAGACGGTGTGTTCATTGCCAAAGCTAATACTACTAAGTTCATGGTAAGATAAGAAATGCAATTCAAAAAAACGCCTTCAGCAAATTTTAACTGCCCGCTGGCTACAGTTCAAGTATATTTTAAACTTGAAAGCTGATGGAATCCGTGAATCTCTATCTGAAGATGATTCGGGGCGGGATGTGAAATATATTGGCGTGTATATAAAAAATAATAAAATAAAAGAGCACTCGACCTGATGCCAGCTAAAATTATTCTAAATATAATTGAGCATTTCTCCACAGTTAAAAAAAAATTGATTTACAAAATTCAAATTCAAATAAATGTTCCTAATTATGCAAATATGCCAAATCATACGTCATACGTTGAAAAAATTAATATAATTGTATTTTTTTGTGCAACATTTGTTTAACTGAATAAATACATTAAGAAATGTGTTTAAATATTCATTTTAATATCAGATTGTCAATTGGAATGTGAGCACATTAACCACGCACACCCAAATACACACAAGCCTGCCTTGCCATGGGTTATTAACTGTCAACGCACCTGGAAATTATTAAGTATGGGCGGAAATACAAGAATATAAAATGTAAACGTCGATTCGGTTTACGCAAAGTATGCAAAAATATAAAAAGCAAAATGTAATTCAATTTAAAGACCTTTTCATTTTAATTTGTAGCAAGCAGCAAAAAGGTTCAGTTTGTTTTTTTTTTGTTTGAATGTTTTGCTCATTCATTTGCCACGACGCATGCAAACTGTAAGCCGCTCTCAGAGATGGAATTAAGGAAAATGTGTCAGCTATGGAATTGGCTTTCATTTACATACTGGTCTTAAATTGAAAATGAAATTTTAAACCTTTCAATAGTACACGACTGCTGAAATTAATAATTAAATAAGCGCACAATTGAATTCCAGCTCTTTTGCGACATATTATTGCATTATGCATACGCCACGTGGTGTGGTCGACAATCCGACATAAAGCCGAAATAAAGCATTGCGCTCTAATTTGTTTTCCTAATTTTTTTTGCCAATTCGAATAGGTTAAATGAACGTTAACCCATTTCCGTTTATATTTTCACTTCCTGTTGCCCGGCTCTTTAACCATATCCCGTTCGTTATCCGCTCATTATGTTTGTAGCTGTGTGTCAAGTCCCGCATTAATTACCAATATCAATACTAATACGCCAGTGCATAAAAACCACGCATGCCAAACCACAAAATGGCTTTGGCTGTGGTTATGGCAGCGGCCCAGTCAATAACAGTCATGCTCGTTAATTAGACCCAGTCTTTGCTCCTTATACCAAATACCAATGCCAAATTTTTGGTTGAGTTTTTTATGGCGCACTGCCTATTAACATTTATCATTGACGTTATAATTATTAGCCAAATATGAAGCCATCAAATTTTTAATTGACATTTGAGCAGAGCTTTGACTTTACTGCGCATTTCTGAACACCATTAAATATCGTCATGGGGCTTCCACACAATTGGCTTGAAACAATCAATTTAAATTTGCATCGAGTTTCATAAGTTTGATACCTTTTGCTATTGCAGGAAAAACACCATTTTACTTGCTTATTCAAAATTTGTAAGGCTTGGACTTTTGTAATTTTTGGCTTCACGAATGAAAGTTTGCCAAGACTTCCATAAAAACCCGATGAATTTTCTTACTGAATTTTTGATTGCTTTAAAGTTACTTGGTTAAATGAAAATAAATCAACTTTTACCAAATCAAAATGCTTTGGAATAAGCTTTATTTTTATTGTTTGATGCTAATCAACCATCAATTGAAAAATAAAATGCCAATTTTAAATTCACTCTGAGCTTAGAAGGAGTATTATTATAACTTTAATCGAATATTAGTTAAATCTGCCGAACTCTACCATAAAGTTACAAGCTAAAATTCTTTGTGTCATTTCCTTTCATTAAGCAATCAATAGAAGTACTTTGAAGTATCTAGTTTTTGAGATAGGACATCATATGTAAAATATCAGAAATTATCAGCCCCCTGGCCTAATTCTGTTAACCCAATTCTTGACCTATTGACGAAAGATGTATTTTATCAAAATAATTTGATTTCTTTATATATTCAATTATTAAAGGCTTCAGCAGCAAATGTAAATTCTTGGCAAATTACCGTTCCATGTGAATTCAGAGATTACATTTTACTTCTTGAGTGAATAGGCCTTTAGTCCCTCTCTCTCTCTCTCTCTCTCTCATCAGTCTCATCTGTAGGGGCAGCTGTTTCTTTGCTGTTTCAGATTGTGGTTGGACTTGCTTATATGTGACACAGTTTACAATGGTCGCTAATTACTTTTGCGATGCCGCAAATTTGCCCAGCCAATTTAAAATAATAGAGAATGCGACAGTCTTTTATCTGGCGATGCAGCCCATTGGTTGGGGGCAGATACTGCTGTTGTAAACTGCGAGCTGTGTTCTGCTGCTACTGTTGCATTGTTGCATTGTGTGTCATGCAGTAATTTGGTGTAATTTGCATTAATTTACATTTAATTTGGTGACCAACAACACACACAAAAGAGAGAAAGAGGAAGAGACAGGAATAACGAGGGAGACAGAGTGGGAGCCAGTGGCGCTGGCTTAGGCCTACGGCGCACACGACGCCTGGCCACAGCGGTTGGCCAAACAAGCCGTGACAGGACAAGGATCCTTGAGCAGAACTATTTGCATATTTTTCACGATTTGTATTTTTTTGTTGCAAAAAAAAAAGTTTGAAAAACTTTGGCCGTCATCTCTTTGAATGAATTCATCACATTGAACCAGTTAAGTTTTCGGTCTTCACAATGTTGATGATAATGAGGCGGATCTGCTTTTACCAAGGGTCAGGTGGGCGAAGTTCCTTACAAAAGCTGACAACCAGCCAGCAACCCACTTGACAACGCTGGCATTTGCATGTCTCTCACCCTTCTGCTCACTGGTTCTTCATAATATTTTGAGGAACTTCTGCTCGTTATTTGCCGTTTGTTCTTGTTCTTTTGTCGCTTTTTGAATTGTGTTTTCAAAATAGTTGCTTTATTTTTGTAACGGAAACTCTTAACACAAATACAAATGCACTCGCACTTACACGCACACACACACACACGCACACACACATACAAATACACACGAAAAGATAGTGTTATTGTTTCACTTTACCGTTGGTTAGCTCTGACTCTGACTTTGACACTGACTGTGGCTGTGGCTGCTAATATGGATGTCTAAATGGCGTCCACTCAGGGCTTGTGTGCTCGGCAAGGCGCCTCGATGTTTTGTGATGTTCACTCGTGGCGAGGCAGCGCCTTTTATAAGCAGCCAGCACCAACCAACAGCCAGCAATGGCAATGGCAACGGCAACGGCAAAGGCAACGACGTCGGCGTCAGCGTCGGCTTCAGCAGAGACGCGTCGCAGTCGCCGTTGCCTCGTTGCAGAACTTCGGCGTCCGTCGTCATTGTTGTCGACATGGTCGTCGTTGCCTTCGTCGTTGCCGTCGTCGTCGTCGTGCTTCGCTTTGGGTGCTTTTTGTCATCACACGTTTTATCTTATCGCTGCGTCTGCGTCGCTGTCGACGCAGCTCTGCACTTGTCGCTTCTGGCTGCAACGGTGTTATTGCGCCAGTGTGTGTGTGACAGTGTGCAGTTAATATTTCGGCTACCACGTGCTGCGTTACAGGACAGCATGCGGCATTTTCTGTGTCCGCTTGATTTTTGGAGATTTAACACTTGCAGAAATTGCTAAATTAATTTAATTGTATTTTAATTATTGCGAATTTTCCATTTATTATTTGACTAAAGTGCAAACTAAGGTTTTTTTTGCTAAAGGCAATCATTAAGCAATTTGCAACAGAACGAATGGAATCAGATAACAAAAATGCTTAAACTGTACTTTATCTGATTCTAATCTAATCGCAGCATTATTTACTATTCTGCTTAGGTGCCCAAAAAGAGATTAAATAAGCGGTTTGATTGACATATTTACGTAGAGAGGTGTCCACAACAATGTTAAAGGGTGATGCTAATTGTAAAACTTGCTAAAAAGAGTTTCCAACTACGGGTTTATTATTTTTTTAGACCATTTTTATTTACACAAAAGTCGTATACATTATATTTAATATATTGCTCTAGCTATAATGTATTATAAAATGGGCATAGTTAAAATTGAATACTAAAGTTTAGAATATAATTATGAAAACTATGAAAGATTATTTACCAGAAATGATTATCGTGTTATTTTGGGACTACTATATAAATAAGCTAATTTAATTGCATTCTTTTCTAAATGTATTTTTTGTCAAGTTTTGCCAAATACTATTTCTGTTGTATGCAGCTGTAATAACTGTGTTTATTTTTTTATATATTATTCTAATAACATAATAAGTTATTTTTCATAGTTGTAGCAGTGCATAAACAAAAATTATAATTACTTCATTTCAGAAGAAAAGTGTCAAACTTTCAACATAACATAAATTTTCTAATCCAACCCAACCGCCATTATTTTTTTATAGCACAGTTTATGGCTGCATATTTTGTACAGTGCAAGGGCCAGAAATACAACAAATCAAAAGTATGAGCAATTGTTCTGGAACATTTTTAAGCATAGCCTTGACACAAACCCACAATTACACACACACACACATACATACAACCACAGTGGTGCTAGTTGGCAGCATTATGAAAGTGGTGGCGCATTCTCATTCGATCATATCCAAATGTGGACCACCAGCCAAAACCATTTAAGCAAAACAATTTCATGCCTGGTCTTCTTGGTTTTAATTACACACGGTACTCACACACCCACACACACACATACACACAACTGTGTATGTGTGCTGGTAATTGTTAACTCCTGCTGAAATGTCGCTGCCAATTTATCACAGTGAAAAAGTGGCCAACAGAATAGACCGCCCGCTGTGCTGTCAGCCTGGGCTTAAAATCCACAAAAATCAAGAGCGCCATCTTCATGTTTCATTGCCAAAACGTTCCTGGCTGCTGTTGCGGATGACCGTTTTACCAATGTTCGCCAAGTTTCGTTTCGTTTCCATGACAAGTGTCGCTGTGCACATCTCTGAGTGTGTGTGTATGTGTGTGTATGTGTGATTGGGGGAGTGTGTGGTTGTGTGTGCGTGTCTGTGTGTGTGTTTTGTGCGACGGTGCGTGTTGGAGTAGACAAATGTTTAAATTTGAGGCCCTTTTACCTGTTTGCATCTCAAGTGGCCATATGAGTGCACCTGCAACTGCTTCTGGCTTTGCCTCCGTCTCCGCCTCCGCCTCTGTTCAAGCAGACGTTTGCCTTGGCAAAAAGGAAACGGATGTCGACATTGACACACTTTCAGATTAACATGGGCCGGGGCCCAGCACTGGCCCAGTCCCCAGACAAATGTTAAATGCTTGCAAGCCTTGTATAGTTTTTGCTTTCGTTTTGCTAGATGCTCTTGTTGTTGTTGTTTTTGTGTGCTGTTGTTGCCACCGTTTAGCTGTCCACCTATTTCGTGTTGTTGTTGCCTTACTGCTGATTTTGCTGCTGCTGCTGCTAAGCATGAATGAGCGGCCACTAAACGTTACCCACCCAAACAGAAACACGAAAAACCATAAAAGATATGGCAGCAGCCAGGTCACTTCGGGGTCTTAAAACGTATTTACAGCAAAGCACAGATTGGGCAGGGAAATGTATACACTCACTCATACACACACACACACACACATACACAGACATGTGAGCTTGACACGGCAACAGCACGTTATTTGCTGGCAGTCTGCAGCTGCACACACTTTTCCGTGCCATTCCCGTTGCACGCTTTTGTGCGGACTTCCGTGCCAGCCACACACTTGCTTCTGGCGTTCGGCAATGGTAACTTGATTAGACCAACATGAAATTAAGTAATTTCGCTGTATTGTTTAGTGTTTCTACAGCAGCACCTTTCCAACAACAACAACAAGCAACAACAAGCAAGAACAACTGCAACAACAACAAGAACAACAACAATAACAATGGCAAGGAACACACTAAACAATAACAAGCACTGCATGAGAGCTAAATACAATAGAATAGACCAAGAAAATCCCATGTAATGAAATGCTCTGGTAGTGGCCAAAAAAGCATATAGACAAACTACGCAGCTGACGCAGTGAAAGATGCCGAACTTCTTTAAAAGGATATATAATAGATCGTCGAATTTTCATAAATTTATTTTGCCTAAATTCCTTGTGAATATTGGTGTACTAGTTTTGCAAGAAAAATTCTCATATATTCCTAAATAAATACTTTTACGGAACTACATTATAAACTCTATTTTCATGCTGCATGACTAAAATGCAATAAATAAGTTATTACAATACCTTCTTCTTAAAAATATGCAATCAATATGCAATTCTCATTGAATATTCAGCAAATGTGCATCGGTTTTAAATTACTCATTTAATTTAATAGTTTTGATGATGTCTGCGAACACAATGCATAGTTTTGTATTACTTTTGACTTTCTTTAATGATCTAAATAAGCTGACTCCAGCTGGTTAAAGAGTAAAGAATTTAAATTGTGAATTGATTGGGATATGCTCAAGACCAATTAATATAATATTATTTAGTAATTGTATTTAGTAAGTTACACATTACATTTGAACAACATATTAGGCACAGTTGGCAAACAAAGTACAAAATGTGCAAGCATTTTTAACTGCACCTTTTCCCTGCCCGAAAAACCATTTGGAACACACTTGTGTTACAACAAAATTCCACTCATAGAAATTCATGCTATAACGGCGAATCCACGACAGAATCCACATCCTTCTGGTCGGGGTCTGCGTGCTAAGCTTGAGTTTTAGTACAGGTACAGCAGCGGTTGGAACAGTGGTTGTGCAAACTCTGCTCCGCCCACATTGCTTAGCAAGCATCTCATGGCGCGGATGCGCTTCAACACTGGGTGGATTTGTGTATTTGTGGCCCGCCTTGCATCCTTTGGCGCGGAATTAAATCAGCTGTCCCTTAAAGAATGCAAGCTCGTCATGCATCGCTGCGAAAGGCGGTGAAGGGGGCGTGGCACTCGTGTGTGTGTAATTTACTGTTATTTTTTAAGCACTTTGCTTTTGTGCGCTGATGCCAGCAAACAACAATGAGAGCAGCCAGAAAGCACACAATCGTATTGTTTGTTTCATTTGGAAATTTTTGTTTATTCGCTTAGATGTATTTCTTTTTTTCTTCTTTTTTTTTGGGAACTCATCCTAAGCGTGATATTCGAACTATGCAGTTTACGATAAATAGTTAAAAGAGGCAGAGATGTGGATAGTCAATGAATTGTTTTCAAGCTTATCTTCAACTATTTATATACTCGTATACATAATATTTTCACAGGGAGAACTCTACAGTTTTAGGGCTTTCATTTTTATTCCAAGTACTTCACTCACATCACTCTACTGTCAAAAGTAGTATCTGTGTTTGAGCTTAAATAATAATTTCATAAATCATTGAATTCTGTTTTATCCCGTGTAGAGTACACCGTAGTCGAGATACCGACAAAATCATCTCGATTTCATTGCTGAATCACGTGAGAAATTACACATGTCCTGCAAATGTTTTCAGCATATCACTGCCACTGTTTGTCTGTTTAACTATCTTTGTATTTATGTATCTACATATGTATCTTTCGGTCTGCTTTTACCGGCTTGTGCGCTGCTTAATTTATGCTCAAACCAAATAAATGGCTTGTGTCGTTTTAATCACACAAGTAGATGAGTCGAGATTTGTGCTACTCACCGAAATTGCACTTAAATTAATTTTTCCATCTGACCCATGAGCTTGTGCAATTATTTTCACGAGCTTGCAGTGGTGTATCGGAATTATAAGATTAGAGGCCACACAAATCTAACGGATGTGTGCAAAACTTGCATAACATTTGGCACAATAAACGAATTTTAATTTGCAATTTTTGCAGCCGCCACACTCACCTACACCCACCCACACTCAACGGAACTGACCTTCACTGGCATGCAACATAACGTTGGCATCCAAAACTGCAACCGAAAAACTAAGCCTATGTAAGCAAATCAATGCCGGATCGAAGCTGGGAATGCCCTAAAATATGAAACTAATACTATAGATGCATTATAGCGATATAGATTTATTTATTTTTAGCGAATGTTCAAGAAAATTTTAGATCATTTTATATAAGATCGCACAAATTGAACGTATCAAACAGAAACTCTAAGCAAAGTTGGTCAATATATACTGCATGCATTTTAGGGTATTAACTAGCTTGGGGCATTTGCTAAATAGAGGCCAAAC